TTTTTTTTTTTTTTTTTTTTTAAACCTATCGCTCAGCCTCTCACCAGACCCTCTCTCCAAAATCCCTCTGGGTGAGAAGGAGAAGGTACCTAAGGAGCAATTGCTGACATGAAATCCACGCGGCCTCGGCTCATCTCGGCACTCGAGTATTCAACGAGGTAGCAGCTGGCCACTCGGAGGAGGAGGCATAACAGATGTGGTCAAGCGGAAGTCTGATGAGGTCCCATGGAGCAGCTTCTGCAAGGTGTCCCAAGCATCTTTGCAAAACACCGAGGATACACGCACGCAGATGCACAGAAGCCCTCGGGATTTCCCGGCCACCCCTGCGGCTCGGCGTGGGGACACAGTCTGTGTCAAGTAGAGCATTCCGCTTGGCCTGCTGGGTGGGCATCTGTCTTGGTTGGGGGTCCTTACACATGGGGGTCTGGGATCTCCTTGGGGGTCATTTGTGGATCTTAAGGGAATCTTCCTGCCTCTGCGGGAGACCTCAGATGAGACCGTTGGTCAGGACCCAGGGCTCCTCTATTGCATCTGCTGTGAGGAGAGCGAGGGCGCGGGGATGGGGACAGGCAAGGTCCTAACCCTGCTTTTGGTTGAAGGTTGAAGCTCAGACGAGGTAAGCCACCTGTTGCCAGCAAGGAGGAGGAGAACCAGCAGTGCTGATGGAAGGGCCCATTCTGCCCAGTGTCCTGGCTGGAGGGCAGAACTGGGGGCCACCTGGGGCAAGAATGAGGTGGTGAGAACACACCAGCCATGCTCGGGGCTATTCTGGAAGACTCCAAAGAAGAGCATCTGTTTCTGGGGCCACTTTTGTGATTGGAGGTGGGCCCCATGGCAGTGGACAACAACCGAGGGACTTGGAAGTGTGGGAAGTAGTGAGGAGGGAGCCAAGAAGGACACAGGGCAGGCCAGGAGGTGCTGCAGGGAGGGAAGACGTCTTCAGGGGCTCGGGTGAGAGGGAACAGGTGACATTGGGACCTCTCTGTCGTGGTCACCCGTGCTGAAGTGCTTGAGCTGGTCCTAGGCCTCCTTCCAGGTTCGGCGGCTCTGCCATGCTTTCTGAGCGGTGGACGGGATGAAGTCCCTTGACAGGCCGTTGTCCCGCTCCTGGCTCCCATGCTGCTCAGAAGCTCACATTCCGGAGAGCTGGGCAGCAGCCCTGCCAGGCCCAGCGGGCAGGGCAATATCTAACTCCACCGGCCGTAATGTGTCCAAAAAGGAAGGGAGCGTAGCCTGGCCTGCCTCCCTTCCCACGGGCCACGTTGGCTCCTGAAGACTGTCACGTACCCTCCCAAGTGCTTGGGTACCACCGCCTGTCCAGGATGGGTGCCCTGACCACCGCCTGTCCAGGATGGGTGCCCTGACCACCGCCTGTCCAGGATGGGTGCCCTGGCCTGGGCTCTGTCGCCTTAGGGGTCCTCCCAGCCAGCTCCCACCACCCGCCTGGAGCTCGGTCCACATCTGTGCACACACTCTCCCAGATAGCAGGCAGCGCGGGTCTCCGCATGTTTTTGTTCCAGCTCTCTGAGCTGTAACGCTTGGCTGGGCCTGGGAGCAGCTGGCCACTCTGGAGGCAGCGACAGAGCAGACTGCGGTCCGAGGAAAGGCCTGGACAGCAGGTCCCAGGGAGAGCGTGTGGTCTGGAGCCCAGATGCCGTCACTCTCCTCACGGAACTGCTGGCTCCTGCTCCCCTCCTGCCGTCGGCCGAGGCCAGCATCTCCACGTGGCTGGTTGCTCTTTCCTTCAATGAAGGGCGATTCTGCTGAAGCAGGAAGTGAACTCCCACCAGTTGATCTAATGGCTTCGAGTCCTAAAGTGTTTGCTCTGTGTGAAGGCAGGGCCAGCCCTTCTGGGCAGCTGCTAACGGCCAGCACATCCGGGAGCTGCCTTTGGGAGGGTGTGGCGGGGAGGGGGGGCCTCCATTCCCTGTCAGACCCTAGGTCCACACAATGGGACTGCATGTCAAACGGGGCTAGGGAGGTGGTGGGTGACAGAGAGGAAGCCGTGGATCCAGCCTGGAAGTCCATTGTCCTGTGGCAAGTCCCCTCCACCTCTGGCCCATCGTCTTCCCATCTGAGAAACGTGGGTGTGGAGGGGTCCTGGCTGGATGACTCCCATCAACTCGGCACCTCCCTCAGCTGCTCTACCACCCTCTCCCAGGGCTTTGGGGTGACTGGGCTCTGTGGTGAGGAAGGGTCTCGATGCCCATCTCAAGGTGCATCTTCCCTGAGCAAGATGTGTTCTCTCTCAATATTCCTTTCTCTCTCTCTCTCTCTCTCTCTCTCTCTCTCTCTCTCTCTCTCACACACACACACACACACACACACACACACACACACACACGTGCAGAGGGCCCTGCCAGACGGTGATCACTGTTGCTGCCTTGAGCCAAGGGCATGTCGCCTGGGAAGCAGGTATATTGCTCCTCTGTGACCACTCACACCCACAGACCAGGTGGCCAAACCTGGACGTTATCCAAGTGGCCAGGCCTCTGACTGTGCCCCACCTGCAGGGAAGAGTGAGGACAGGACAGAACACAGGCCTGAAATCGAATCCTGTGTGACCATGGGCACCAAACCTCCTCAGCGTCCATTTCCTTACGTGTAGACTGGGGGTGATACCGTTGACCTCAGAGAGCACCGGAGCACCCTGCCTGTCCAATAGCTATCCGTGGCGGTTCCCATCGCTCCTCACCCCGGCTCACACTGGGGAGCAGCCCTGGCTCCCGGCCTCGGAGCTGCTGACATTCTGTCTGCTAGAGGCAGCCCTGCCGTCGGGTTCTGGGATCCAGAGTCCTTGGGACTGAAGGGTTTCCCGGGATGTGGGACTTTCAGTGCTACAACCGGGACAGTCTCTGCACACCTACAACCGGGACGGCCTCTGCACACCTACAACCGGGACAGCCTCTGCACACCTACAACCGGGACGGCCTCTGCACACCTACAACCGGGACAGCCTCTGCACACCTACAACCGGGACGGCCTCTGCGCACCTACAACCGGGACAGCCTCTGCACACCTACAACTGGGACGGCCTCTGCACACCTACAACCGGGACGGCCTCTGCACACCTACAACCAGGTCGGCCTCTGCACACCTACAACCGGGACGGCCTCTGCACACCTACAACCGGGACGGCCTCTGCACACCTACAACCGGGACGGTCTCTGCACACCTACAACCGGGAAGTCTCTGCACACCAGGGTGGCTGGTGAAGCCACCGAGGGCTTTTGGACAGGGCCAGAGGAGCTGTGGCTTTGCAGGGTGAGGCATCAGAAGGATTCACAGGTGGGTCATGAAAGACACAGAATTGGACTCAAATGAGGGACAGCATCCTCAGAGTCAGCACCCCCCTAGATGGCAGAGCTCTGTCTTTCGATGTACTCAGCCAAGAGCTGAAGGACCACCGGGAGGGGATTCTGTGGGTGGAGCCAGAGCCCTAGAGGGGGTGCTGGACTAAATGCCCATCGAGGCTCCTTTTTGCCCCACGTGTACCCAGTTTCCATAGAGGGGCGGAGGGAACCCCTGGCTAGCCCAAGGATGGAATGGTGTGATGAATCTTTTCCCTGGCAGGCTGGGGGTGGGACAGGGTGGGTGCGGGGACTGGCTGCAGGTTGTAACTGGGCTTTCTTTCTTTTTAATATATTTTATTGATTTTCCTTTTTTTTTTTTTTTTTTTTATAGAGAGGAAGGGAGAGGGATAGAGAGCCAGAAACATCGATGAGCGAGAAACATTGATCAGCCACCTCCTACACACCTCCCACCGAAGATGTGCCTACAACCAATGTACATGCCCTTGACCGGAATCGAACCCGGGACCCTTCAATCCGCAGGCCGACGCTCTATCCACGAGCCAAACTGGTTTTGGCTGTAAGTGGACCATTCCCCAGTCCCTTAGAAGAAGGAGGAGGGCATCTTCTCGTGCAGAGGAAAATCATTGGGAGAGTTAGCTACTCCCTGTCCCTCTCCGGCAGCGGGGAGCCAGGCATCTGGCCTGGGGGGTGGTCAAACATCTGTTGGACCCACAGACCTGGTGTGGCCTTGCCCAGAGAGGACACTTCTTTCCCCTGGGGCCTCCTCTAGCTACCACCTAGGTCCCGCCTCCTAACCCCTGTTGGGACAGGACAGTGGATAACCCGGTTGCAGAGGCCACAACCCAAAACTCCCCGGCCTCCGCCAGGCCTGTCCACCAAAACGCCTGCCCCCCAGGTGCGGGAGCTGGAGGGGGTACTGCTCACAGCTGGGCGACTGGCCTCTGCAAGCTCCTCTCCAGCCTGTGTGGGGTCGCCGGGGATTTGCATGTGCTGAGCATGTGCCTGTACAGTTTAGGGCATCGGGAGCCTCTTCCCCTCGGAGACTAGGTGGGTGGGACCCTAGAGATGACCAGAGTCCTGAAAGGGGCTGCTGAAGGTGCCCCTTGTCTCTGATCTCTGGAGCCACCTCCTTCTTGGCTTCCTGGGAGCCGCCCAGTGCCCCTGCCTTCTTCCTTCCTTTCTCCTGATCTCTGCTGCCTCAGTCACTCTCTGGTGTCAGGCTCCGTGCTTCTAGTCTCTGATTTTTTTCTCTCTGAATTCCTCTCGCCGCCGTGGCTCGGCCCCAGGGAGGTATCTCCCCGTCCCCGTCCCCGTCCCAGTCCCAGTCTCTGTCTGGTCCGCAGTATCTCGTGTCTCTCGCGCGCGGTCTCTGCGCGTCCCTGCACCGGAGCGGCGCGGCTGGAGCGGCGGCGGCCAGGCGGTGCGGGCCCGCGGGGGCGGGCAGGGCGCTCGCTCGCTGGTCCCTCCCCGGCGGGCGGCGGGGGGCCGGCGCGGCGGCCGCTCGGCGCCTTTAAGGAGCGGGCGGGAGCGGGCGGCGGCGGCTGCGGTGGCGGCCGCGGAGCGCGCGGGGTGGGGGCGCGGGGCGCGGCGCTCGGAGTCCGCTCGGGCCGGAGGCGGCTCGGAGCCGGGGGCGCAGCCTGGGAGCCGCTAGGAGCCCGGCAGCTCGGCGGAGCCCGCCGCCGGGACATGGCCCAGGCGGGCCGTGCAGGTGAGGGCGGGCGCCGGGGGCAGGGCCGTGGCTCGGGGGAGGGACCCCGCGGTCCGAAGGGAGGGGGGCTGCGGGGCCAGGTGAACCGCTTGCTCGCGCAGGTGGGCGTTGGCCCCGAGGGCGCGGGGGGCGGCGGCGAGGCCGGACCCCGGCGCGTGCAGAAGGGGCTCGGCGCGCCCCGCGTCCTTCCTGCGCCCACAGTCACCTCGCGGGACACCGTGTCCCCCTGGCCACGGCCCCGCTGTGAGGGGCCGGGGCTGCTGCGCCCTGTCCAACCAGGCTGGGGGCGCCCTGACCGCCTTCTGGAGACCCGGCCAGCCCGGGCGCGGGGGCCGGGGGGCTGTACCGAGGCCGCTGCTCCATCCCATGCTCCCCAAACCGGGGCGCCCCCCACGCCCTGCCACTCGCTCTATCCAGGACGAGACAGTCCCCCGCCCCCAGCTCAGGCAGGAGAGCAAGGTTCCTTCCTGGCCAGGAGGGTTGCCCCACGCCCCATCCTAGGGACCGTCCCGCTCCCTTCCCCCACAGGACCCGAACCCGGGGAGGCAGAGCCTCAGGTGCGCAGGTCTGAGGGTGCCACCTCTTCTGGGGTCCTGCGGGGCGCTGCCCTCCCTCCATCTCGAGCGAGCGGTGTAGCCTGCGGTGCGGGGAAGTGGGCGGTAGTCATTCGTTCACTCATTCAGACAGACGTTCATTCACCAACATCTGCTGTGTGCCAGGTCCTGCGCTGGCTCTGGGGATGGGAGGAGGACCAGACTCTGCCCCCGATGCACACTCCCCGCTGGTGCCCTGGGAGGCTCGGGTGGAAGAAAGCCCAAAAGGCTGGTCGTACTGTGTGTGCGGCCAGCAAGCCGGGCCTCAGCAGAGCTGGCTGGTGAGGCTGGCATGTGGGAATAGATCTGCCATGAACTCATAGCCAACCTGTGACATTGGCAGGTGCCATGCCATGCCATCCCCTGGGACTAAGCATTGGCCTGGCACAAACCCCACAGCTCTGCCCGTAAGTGATGAAAGTGATGGAATGCGTGAATGTGTGAGTTCATGTGTGTACATACTCAGCATGCCTACTACGGGGCTGTGCGTACATCCACTGCACCCCGCAAATGCTGCCACAGACCCTGGGCTGGGTTTGCATCTCCCCTGAATACCACCGGGGTGTATGATTTAGCCGCCTGAGACTAGATTCCCAATTCTGTCCCCCAGGAGTCCTGTTGGGGTGGGGCAGGTTGTGTGAGACACAGCAAGAAGGGAGCACATTTAAACACCCCCTTTCTCACTTCCCTCCCTCCTCCCCCCTGGGAGAGGGACAGTGAGATGACACCATTGGGGCTGGAAAAGGTTCTCTCTCTCTCCTTCCCCCACTGAGCTAGGTCCTTACCCAACTTCACTCCTCCCAAAGGGCACAAGACAGGGTGTGTGTACGCCTACCGCCTCTGCTCTGTGTGGGCATGTGTGTGCATGTAAGTGCCCGCCCCTGGGCACAGATCACCTGCCTGGGCACTGCCATCACAATAGCTGCTAATATGTGGTGCTTGTCCTGTGCACCAGGCGGTGTAACAGGAAATGTTACTCTCCCCTCTCAGAAACATCTGGCAACAGACACTCAGAGAAATGGCTCCCTCGAGGCGGCCCAGAGGGTCTGCGCAGAGCCTGGGCTAAGACCAGCCCTATGGGACTCTCAGGGGGTCTAAGTGGTGGGATGTCTCCATCGGCGTCCGGATAGGTCACCCCTCCTGGAAGGGAGGTGCCGTCTCAGTCCCTCTGCCTTGGCCTGTGGGTCCTCTGGTCCCTCAGCAGAGAATCCGTGGGAATGTGTCCCAGTGACAGGTGGGAAAAATGGCCCTGCTCTGAGCATCAAGCAGCTTGTCTTTCGTGCTGCAATTTCACGCTTGGCCCTTTCCCTCGGGGCGGCACACAATCCCCTCTCTGTGGATCGAACTGTCGTGCCAGCTGCCACCCAGAGCAGCCTCGTGGGCCTGACCCCGGCCAAATGGGATTGCTCCTTTCCTTGGCTCTGCCAGGCCACTCTGCAGTTTGCAAATGCCCCTCTTCTTTAGGCTCCTAGCCCCACTGAGCTGAGGACAGCACACAGCCGTGCGTGTTCGGGGTGACCTCTCCCCCACTGGCAGCGCCCCTGAGAGGAGACTGGTGAGCGTTAGAACAGAGTGAGTCCCTGGAGACAAGAGCACAAGTCCCTCAGGTTACGACGAGAGAAACTGAGGCTAAGGAGGGGATGTAACACAGAGAGGGATGGCTGTGCAGTACCCTCTTTCTCGCAGGGACAGAGCAATGGTCAGAAGTGGTCAGACCTTTGCTCTGGGGACAGATGCCAGAGAACCCCGGAGGGCTGAAGGCCAGGGCCAGGGTGGAGGCTGTGGGCACTGGCCTGTAGGGAGGGGGACCGTCATGACTTGTGAGGTGCTGCCTCTAAAAACCAGCCAGGGACCACCTCCCGAGGGAAGAAGGAGGGGTTTGGGCCTCAGGACCATCCCAGGGCATGACACCAGGGCCATCGCAAGGTAGCCTGGTGAGGGGCATCCTCAGACACACTGGGCACCGCCTGAGCAGCCAGCCATGGCCGTGTCACCTGTGCCAGACTGGAGCTGAAGGGGGGGGGGCAGTGAAGGCACTGCCATGTGCCTGGAGGTCCCGGGGACAAGAGAATCAGGTCCCAGACAGGACTGGGTCAGTCATGGAGGGTGAATCCCTATTTCTAGCTCTGGAACTCTGGGGCGGGGTTTCAGTCACACGGACCAGGATCATACGGTGCCTGCTCAGTCTTGAGAGGAAAAGGCAGTTAGGGAAGAAAGGCTGCTGTAGGGAGGTGGGGCCAGAGGTGGTGGGGAAGGATGGAGGAGGTCCATTTAGGAGAGGGTGACTTGCAGTAAGAGGTCCCTATGGGCAGGCCTCAGTGCAGTGCAGGCACAGAGGAGGCCAATGGTGGCCTGGGGTGGAGAGGCTGGATGTCTTAGGAGCTGGGCCTCCAAGACCAGCAGCAGTTGGACAGGAAGGTGACGAGGGGCAGGCTTCCGGTGGGACCTGAACAAAGGCTAGGAGGTGGGGATGGGGCAGAGGTTAGTGTAGAGGCACTGCTGCTGGGCGGGCATGGCACGTGTGGGCCGGAGATGCCCCAGGGCGCTGAAATCTGTCTGGCCGGGGTGATGGGTTCCTCCAGGGGTGCAGGTGGCTGAAAGGAACTCTGGGAGCATCGAAGACAGAAGCAACGCAGTGAGATTTGGGTGTTTCCACAGGTCCCTTTGGCTGGCTTCTAGGAGGGCGGGGAGAGGCTCTCCCAGGCTGGGAGAGGTTTGTTCTGCTTCCTGCCAGCCTCGCTGCCCCACCCTTCCTCTCTGTGTCCCTGGGGCACTCCCTCTACACCCCAGCAGGCTGGCAGGGTATCTGCCAGCCCAGGGGCAGGGTAAGTGGGAATAGAGGGCCAAGCAGGAATAGCGGGGGCAGCCAAGAGGGTCTTGGAACCTCTCAAGCTGGGACAGGACAGGAGAGGCAGGGCCGGGCCTTCCAGGCTGGAGGAACCAGTTTGCTCCCAGGTGCTGGCCTCTGTTCTGAGGGGTGGAGCCAGCGGGCTGGAGTAATCCAGTTAAAAAAAAAATTCTGATCCTACAGTGGCACAGCTGGAGGACATGTCCAGATGCTCATTTTCCAAACCCTTGTCAACAGGGGGCCACAGAGGAAGGTGGTGGCAGAGCTGGGCCTAAAAACTCTCTTTCCCGGGTCTCAGTTTGGACCTTGCTCCGCTGAGTCAGCTGCCTTCTCACCACCCGAAGCCAGAGCTCCTTCTGGGCCCTCTGCACCTTGGTTTGGGGGAGGGGGAGTGGCCTAGGGTCTCAGGGGAAGCTGGAAAAGGGAACAGCACTGGGTTGCTCAGGACGCTGGGCAGGTGCCAGGGGATGGAGGCAGGCCTCTCAGGCCCAGGGTGTCAAGGTTGCTTAGGGATGCATCGTGTGGAGGGCATCATGCTCTGCAAGATTATAAGTTCCCCTGCTCAGGTGCCAGGGGAAGGCTGAGGCCACGCTGGATGCCACTGTCCCGATTCGAGGCCACTCTACAATCTGCCTCCAGGAAGCCCTTGTCCCTGCAGACCTGGGGGTGCTGGAACCCAGCAGGCCTGTTCCTGGCTGAGTCACCTGTCCCTGCAGACCGCAGGCCACAACAGGCCCCTGCTGGAGACCCTGTGTGGCCTCAGCCCTGGCTGTGGTGTGATTGCATGAGTCAAGGACAGCGCAGCTCCAGCAAAAGCCCCACTTCAAGCATGTGGCCCTGAGCCCAGAACCCCCTGTCCCGATGGAATGAGGCCCTTGTGGCCTGCCTGTGGGCTGGGAATCCGGTGGAGGAAACAGAGAGTGAGGACAGGGCTAGACGCCCCTGGCTGGGGCCGTGTCTGTGTTGTACTGGCTAGAAGGTGTGGTTTTCTCCTCTGCCTTAGTACACTGTGACAGCTCATGGCTGAAAGAGGCCAGAGGCCTTCCAGTCCCCCTGGTCATCATGCAGGTGGGAGACCGAGGCCAGCAAGGCAAAGTGTCGTCCTCTGGGGTCTTCAAGGACCAAGAGTGTGACCTCCCAGAGGCCAGCGAGGCTCTGAGGACTAGGGACTTCCTGGTAGGGCCAAACTACCTGCCAGGAATTCTCTGGGATCCAGGCTTGTGAGAGGGAGGGCCAGGACAGGGATCAGCATCCTGAGAACAATATGGATCTTTTTTTGGGCAGCAGTCCTCAGCATGCTCTCCTGGCCAATGGGTCCACAGCAGCTCTTTAAGGTAGGGCAGATGGTATTCCCATTTTATGGATCAGAAAACAGAGGCTCAGAAAGGTTAAGGGTCTGGGTCTGGGTCTGAAATCACACACACACACAAAGTTAGAGGCAAAGCAGGAATCAGCACTTAGGTCTCATCTACCCTTGGGTCAGCATTTCTAAGAAGTAAATTGTGCAACAGAGAAGAGATCCCACTCTGTCACTGGAGACCCCATTTCTAAGAAGTAAA